GGTCTGGGCCACATCGTCTTCGTCAATTTTTACACTACTGAGGTCTAAGCCTGGGAACAGCTCTTCAGCTTTACGCTTGAACATTTTTCAGCCACTGTCCTAGAACTCAGTCATTTCGTGCTTATAGAAGTCTGACCGCTGGAAGCTCTCAATAACTTCTGCCTTAGTCCTGCCCCCAGCGGTCATTCTCGATGGGCCCGCCCCCCTAGACTCCTCCCTCGCCAAGCTGCTGGCGACCGCGGCATCAACTACCATCTGAAATTCAACAGACCCCTTGAACTGATCCATTGCTGCAACACATAGATCGGGGTATGCCGCCCTTTCAGAGGCTGTCTTGGCCCTCTCCTCCTCCAACTCCTTCTACAGGGTCGCCCTTTCAGAGGCTGCCTGAGCCCTCTCTTCCTCCAACTGCCTCTGCAGAGTCGCCCTTTCAGCAGCCGCCTTGGCCCTCTCTTCCTACAACTCCTTTTGCAGGCCCTCCCTTACCTCCACTACCTTAACAAGCTCATCTTCTAGCTCCTTCTGCAGCCCAGAAATCTCCAGGTCTGCGTCTTCTTTTTCCTTGATCTACTAGGCACGCAGATTTTCATTGCTGGTCATCGCCTCTTCAAATCGTTCGATGGCTACCGTGCAGTCCTTTTGAGCATCTCCCAGTTTCTTCTGCTCACCTGCCAGTTGGAACTCGAGCGACACAACCTGGCGGCGTTCGTTCTCCAGTTCCAACTTGACCGCTCGCAGTTCAGCACGGGCACTCTCCCAGCCTACACGCTCCTCCTTCAAACTTGCAAGTTGAGCCTGGGCCTTGTCTGCTTTCATCTTTGCAGCCGTCGCCTTTCTCAGTAGAGCTCCTACTAAGGTGGTTACCTCTATTTGAGTAGAGCATAACCCCCTCAGCAACTCAGCCTCATTGAATCTGGCTACTGAGCGCATGGCTGCCTCATCCACGATCCCCACAAGGCGATTTGCACCAGCCTTGGCTGGGCCTTCTTCCCCCTCCAGCCGCCTAGCTACTGCGCGAGCGTGGTAGATCCCGGTCGTCAGCCCGATACCCCCTCCTTGGGGCGCAGGACCCCCTGGGGCTGTTCTCCTTCCCTAGGCTCAGGGCCAGTTGCCCCACCTTCTACTTGCACTTCGAAGGCGACCCTCGCCACCTCTGAGGCGATCTCCACCATTATTGGGACGACCTCCACTCTCTCCGAGGCGATCTCCACCACTTCTGGGACGACCACCCCTCCTGGGGTCTCCTCCATTCCCCCCTTCTCTGCCTCCTTGACCACGCTGGTCTCTTCTGCCATTACTTTCCTCATCCTCTTCAAGGCAGGCTCCCCCTCACCCCTCCCCACCTTTCTTTTCTTCTTCCCCACACTGCCCATCTCCTTGGCCCTCTATTTCAAAGGATCAATCGGGGGCGGTCGTGGCTCAGACTCACCCAAGTCTTTTTCCTCCAGCGATTTTGGGCGCGGTCGGATCCTCTCCCGCGCGATCGGCTTATGCGGTCGGTCATCCTGCGCCTCCTTGAACTTACTGGCTTTGGTAAGGATAGCCATATCCTCAGCCTCTTGCGCTTTCCTCCTCACCTCTAGTTCAGCCCGTCTCGGCTGAGGGCCCAAACCCGCCGCAAACAAGGCTGAAGGTTAAACGAGCTCGTCCCACCTGACCCCCTCCTTCTCCCGCCATGCCTTCACTTTCTTTATTCTCTCCTCTGTCGCTGCTCCCAGTCTTGGCTCTACAGATTTGATGGGTACTCTCCACACCGTGCGTACCCCATCCCTCCATTCGTAGACACATAGAACCACCACGGCCTGCAACCCTTAATTGATGACGGCAGCCCCGCCATCAGACCCCTCCCTGCCGCCGCCTGCAACGTCACCCAAGTCTCTTGTTGTCCTGAGGCCTTATAACATGCGAAGAATTTGTCTACTGTCATGGCCGCCCCTTCATTCGCCTTCGACCACGCGCTTGCACAGGCCAGTACAATCTTCCACGCGTTGGGCATTAGTTGGCCTGGTGCCACTTCCAAACGGTTCAGGACATCTACCACCACTTGCAGCAGCGGCAGCCTCAGTCCTCCCTTCAATGCTTCCTCGTAAAGGGAAAACTCCCCCGGCCTTGTGTCGAGTGGCCTTTCCGTTGACGTCAGTAACAATAACTCTATTTCAGCCGGCACCTGGTATTTTTCGCAAATAGCCTCTAACTCCGCCGCGATCACCGTCGATTTGTCATCCTTCGTGTGCCAGTGATCTGGTTCCGCCTGGCTGATTGGCTTCGGAGCTGCTATCATGGTGAAAGCATGAGATCGTACCACCGGTTCCTCCACCTTCTCCATTTGCCTCTTCGTCCTATACTGCTCTGCTAACTCTACTGCGTCGTCATCACCAAGCGGATCCACCCTGACATTCACAGCTTCTTCTTGGGCCATTTCTATGGTATGTCTTCGAATCGCTTCGAATGCAGGTGCAAGGAAATTGAAAAAATGTTGCAGAGGTGTATTGTCAGCAACAAAGGAGTTAACAATTGGGATGTTTTGATTTTTCGCAAAGAAGTAGGTAAATCGAATAATGCCAAAAGCCCAAGGCTTGCTCGTATTCCAAGGGTCGCAATTAATTTGCACCAGTTTGAAAACTTTTCAAAACATCCGCCAAAACTGTCTTTTCAACACCCATAATGACCTATTGTTTCATTTCTGATCCAATTACATCCGCGTGTACGACCACAATCCATTGTCTCCTCCCCTTACCCTGTCTTTTCCACTTCAAATCACCACGTGACACGCCGCCTCTTGAGCCCCGCGCCCCTCCACCTTACCCTTTGCGGTCGGCCCTCCTCATGGTCGACCCTTCTACTCGGCCAACCTTCGCGGTCGGCCCTCCTCGTGGTCGGCCTTTCCACTCGGCCACGATTCGCGGTCGGTCCACCTCATGGTCCACCTCACGGTCGGTCCACCACATGATTTTCCCTTCCACTCGGTCTACCTCACGGTCGGCCTACCTCGCGGTCGGTCCACCCACTCGGTCGCCCCTGCCAGTCAACCTCCATCCTGCCAATCTTGAACACCCTCATTCTCTTCATTAGTATTCCCTTCGTTGGACTAAAGCTGTACTCGGGAATTGGGGACTACTGACGTGGATAAGCCCATGAAAGTCGTAGCCCACTATGAACAACCCAAGACCATCACTTGGAGCCCAATACATAACCCAGTTGGTGAAGTCCAAAACAGCTGGAATCCAGTGTAACACAAAGAGCCAATGACATTCAGACATACGGCAGGTAAAGGACAAGCCACATCAGTAGACAAAGATCTGCAAAGTTATTGCCACTGCACATCACCATTAATGCAGCCCATCGCAGCATTTATTACGACAACACCTCTCCGTCGGAACAGCACCCCCTTACCCTGAACAAGGTAAGCTACAGCATAGACTTTCGGCCAAAATGGCAGGTCGGAAGGGACAACGAAATGATGACCAAAGGATATAAGCAAACGTTGAAGACAAAAAGAAGGTTATGTTTTTCTATCTCCAATTTATCTCTCTGCATTTCACTTCTTTCTCTCTCTAACTTGCTCATTGGCAGGTTCGCTGGGGGACTCCCCGTTCCCCATTGAACTCCTATGCAGGTTTTCTGGTAGGCTTGAACACTCAATTACCGGTTGAAGAAGCGTGGATTAGTCCTACCCATTCCACCTAGGACCCGTTGTGTAGTAACTGTATCGTCAGAATACACCCCATGTTGTCCTTAATTCATTGGAGGATATTATCGAAATATAAATTTAATCTATTAATAGTGTGTACTGAGAGTATTAGTAGTATGTAAATAGAATCACCCTTAATACATATGATCCAAAATATACTTATAATCTTAAAAATCATAATATTTGTCATTTGTTTATATATTTACATGCTATATCTGTAGTTTTTCTCTCTTGAATTCTATTGCTAGAACAACTTGGTTAGTCTGTCAAAAATTCGTTGGAACATCACCTCTAACTGCAAAAACCACAACAAGTCGGTATTGGACCGATATTGTTTAACAACACAATTCTCCGACAGTAGAACCAGTACGGTGATGGTAAAATCACAGTAGGATAACCAATCAGTATTGAACTCTGATTCGACGACATGACAGCAGTAAAGATCGAATTGGCGGCTCTCGAGATCGATTCTTCTGCGCAACATTAGCGACATCACCGAAATTTCACTGACCTGTCTTAAGTCAGTGAAATTTCGTCAACTTTTTTTTTTAAGAATTTTGTATTTATCATTAATCTTATTTTATAGATCTTGATGAAACAATTTTTAAGATATAATAAAAATTGGATTTCTAGATAAAAAAGTGAAAAATATTGAAATTTTCAAGTAAATTAAAAAAAGTAATAGGTGTTATCTAAAGTGGTGTGGCATAGGCATTTTTATAGCTGTGTATTTGGAAGACTATACTAATATAAAAAATTATGTTGTCCTAACTTTCTAAATAAATATTAGGGTAAATGACAATATACTCCATGAGATTTGCTTAAAATATAAATTGTCTCCTATGATTTGAAAAATTACAAATACTCTATTATCAGAATTTTTTATTTAACAGAATTAACTGAAAAAATGAAATTTCTAACTATTTTGCTAATAAAATTACATGAATTATTAATTGGATTAAATTTCTAAAGTCATTAAAAATTATTAATTGATATCATGATGTATTAATAAAATAAGTCATTTGTTATAAAATTACAAACTTTAAGAAATGAGATATAATTTTCAGAATCACAAAAGTAAATTTATATTTTTTAAAAAAAAAAAAACTTCAAAATGTGTGTTTGTAATTAATGAAATTAAAAAAAAAATTAAAATTAGATTTAAAATACAGGTGATTAAATTATTTAATTTAAAATTATAAGAATAAAAATAAAATTTATGTCAAAGTACAAGTTTAAAACAAAATAAAAATCTACTTTTTATTTCTGTCACGTTGCGTCCCTATCTCATCTCCCTCTTTGCTTCTTAAAATATCTGCAGAGAGGACCATCTTAACTGAGTCTTTTGAGAGCTTAGATAGAGAGAGAACTATATAATTACACATGTATGTAAAGAGGAGAGAGGAGAGAGAAAGGGGTCAATCAGATGGTGCAGAATCTGGGTGATACTGATGGTGTTACTTGTAGTAGTTTTTATTAATGGGTTTTGGTTTGTTTTACCTGGGTAGGAACTGGTTTGGGATTTTTTGTGCAATTAGGGTTTGAAATTTTGTATAGTCATACATACATATTACATACTTTCCAATAGTGTAGGATAGCATTAACAAAAGGTTGAATTGAAGGTGGTTTTGCCTCTGCAGACAGGTGGTGTTGTTTAAGACCACCCCTTTGTTCTTCAGCTATATTTCAGGTCTCTATCTCTCAATCTCTCTTTATATTTATATATCTTTTAAGTAAATGTTAGATTTTTCTTGTCATTTTTTGTTGTTAATTTCCTTTTCCTTTCCCCAAATGCAGAGAATTGCAGAAAGCACAAGTTTTCTTCAGTTATGCTTTTTGTCCCCAAACACAGAACAATTCACAGCTAAAATAAGGAGATAATATGTAGAAAGAGTCCCGAATAGTGAAAGATCAGTTTGATAATGAAAAATATTTGAAATTTGGAGGTTTGGTGCTGATGGGTATGTTGGATCTTGAGGTATATATGTATGCTAGATCTACAAATCAAGCAGATCAGTTTTGATTTGTTCTCAATGGGTTATCCGTTGGTATGAGGATTCTAGGTATAGGTGACAAGAACTCAAACCCAGGACAATTTTGTCTGTTAGGGTTTAGACTTGTCAAAGAGATGGATTAGACAAGGTGTTTACTTGGTGTAATGGCAAAAGCTTTTGCTCTTTGGTTGTTGATTGCTTCTCTAATCATTTCTGTTTCTGCCATAGACAATGGCTTCTTGCATTGTCAATGCGACGACGAGGGGATTTGGAGCATAACTAGTATTCTGGAGTACCAAAAAGTGAGTGATTTCTTTATTGCAGTAGCATATTTCTCGATCCCCATCGAGTTACTTTACTTCATTAGCTGCTCGAGTGTACCGTTCAAATGGGTACTTGTTCAATTCATTGCATTCATAGTCCTTTGTGGATTGACCCATTTGCTTAATGGTTGGACATATTACGGTCCTCACTCCTTCCAGTTGATGCTCTCTCTTACCATTGCCAAAATCCTCACAGCCCTTGTCTCATGTGCAACTGCAATAACGCTTCTGACACTGATCCCTCTTCTCCTTAAACTGAAAGTAAGAGAACTTTTCTTGACACAAAATGTGTTGGAACTAGACCAGGAGGTTGGGATGATGAAGAAACAGAAAGAAGCAAGCTGGCATGTCAGAATGCTGACCCAAGAAATTAGGAAGTCGCTAGATAAGCACACAATATTGTACACCACTCTGGTCGAGCTTTCCAATACGTTGGATCTGCAAAATTGTGCCGTTTGGATGCCGAATGAGAATAAAACTGAGATGAACCTGACCCACGAGTTGAAAGCGAGTTCTTCGAACAGTTTCCATCATTCACTGCCTATTAATGACCCAGATGTATTAGAGACGAGAAACAAGAAGGGGGTGAGGATTTTGAGGCCCAATTCAGCACTTGGGGTTGCAAGCATTGGTGGATCTGGGGAATCGGGTTCTATTGCAGCAATTAGGATGCCAATGCTTCGCATTTCAAATTTTAAAGGGGGGACTCCAGAGTTTGTCGAGACTTGTTACGCGATATTGGTTTTGGTTCTTCCAAGTGCAAATAATAGAGCTTGGAGCTATAATGAGATGGAGATAGTGGAAGTGGTTGCTGATCAAGTGGCTGTGGCTCTCTCCCATGCTGCAGTTCTTGAGGAATCCCAACTAATGAGAGAGAAACTGGAAGAGCAAAATCAGATGCTACAACAGGCTAAGGAGAACGCATTGATGGCAAGCCAGGCAAGAAACTCTTTCCAAAAAGTGATGAGTCATGGGATGAGGAGGCCAATGCACTCAATCTTGGGCCTGCTTTCAATGTTTCAAGATGATAGCTTGAGCTCTGAACAGAGAATTATTGTTGACACGATGGTGAAAACTGGCAATGTTCTTTCAGCTTTAATAAATGATGTGATGGAGATTTCAGCTAAAGATAATGGAAGATTTCCATTAGAAATGAGGCCTTTTCAGCTGCATCATATGATCAAGGAATTTTCTTGTCTTATCAAATGCTTGTGTCTTTATAAGGGCTTTGGTTTTTCTGTGAATATTCAGAATCCTTTGCCCAATCAGGTGGTGGGAGATGAGAAGAGGACCTTTCAGGTCTTATTGCATATGGTTAGGCATGTATTGAACGTCAGTGACAGAGGGAGGTCTGTCATCTTTCAGGTTGTTTCCGAGAGAGGAATTAATGGCAGGAATGATAGAGGTTGGGGAATGCTTAGACCAAGTACAACCAATGAGTTTGTGAACCTAAAATTTGAAATTGAAATCAGTGATGGAGGTTCCCAATTAAATGATGGCCCTGTATCTACCTTAAATTTTGCTGGTAAGAGTCACAACAGCAACAATGCCAAGGACGGCCTGAGCTTTAACATGTGCAGAAAGCTTGTACAGGTAAGAATCATCATTAATATTTTGCTTGTGTTCATTTTCGCCGCTTCATGTTGTAGTTTTCTTTTATTGCTGCAATTGTAGGGCCTAGTAGGGCAAGTTTGTATGTTTCTTGGAAATTATAATTGCATGTTTTGACGCTTGTAGCATTTCTGTTGAGCATGTGAGAATATTGCTCAGAATTTCCTCCCTCGGGGGCCGTCTTTGCTGGCAAGTGGGTGTGCTCCCCACGTTGTTGCAAGGGTTTGAGTTTCATCGGGGGCCGTCTTTGCTGGCAAGTGGGTGTGCTCCCCACGTTGTTGCAAGGGTTTGAGTTTCACGGCTTACCCGGTGCAGCACCTTCTGCGGTAGATTTTCTAGGATATAGCCATTTAACTGCATTTTCTTGTTGCTCGATTCATTACATCCAAAGACGGTTTTTTTTTTTTTTTCCTTCAAATACTATGGAAAACTAATTGGATGCATGTATATTCATGGAACATCGAAATATAAGCTTATCCTCTGGATAAATAAACTGTAAATTATATAGAGAAAGGAAGCTGTTCTGTTCCAAAATACTTGTTTTCCTATTCAATAAATAGGTTACATGTGTTCCTTGAAGCGTCATAATAGTAAAACTATATTAACTAAAATTCTTTTTCATATAGAAACTGTTGACAAATAGATTTTAGCTTATTTTTGCCGGATCTTTTGTTTATTTTAGTTGGCAATTGTTGTTCTGGATGATATATGCTCTCAATGGTATTTAAATGATTTTAAAGCCACCCTCAAGATTTGCTCAAGGCAAGGCTTTAGGAAAGCATCTCAAAGCAGAGTCTTGAAATTTATTATGCACCTAGATGTACCACTCTCATGAACCATGCTCATCGTACTATTAGACTTGCCTTATATCTAAAACTTATTGCCCTACATGATTTAGTTATAAAGGTCTGGTTATCTTGCCAGGTTATTTTAACAGTGCCGTGGGAACATTTTGAGTTTACTTATAGAAATTGGATTTTTTATTTTATTTTATTTATACGTTAAGAGAGGTGTGGCACCAACGATTTATAACTAAGGTTATTATTGATGTTTCTTGCAATGTTTTGTCAAATTTTGTTTTTCTTTCCTGTCTTTCTTTCTGTTTTATGAAATTGGTGGCAAGCATTAGAATGCGGGTTAAAGTTTTAGAGTACACATTTTGCACAAATAACGCCAAGGCTAGTCTATATCAGTTTGACCCCTCTGAGCATCTCAATTAACAGATATCATCACTATGCAGAGTGCCTTCTTCTTCTCAATTAAAGTGATTTTTTGTGAGTGTACTGCAAGTGTTGTTATGCCTCATCTTATCTAAGAAACATAAACAAGATACGGACACACCAGCTCAACAATTTTTTTAAAAAGATCAGGACTCAACCCAGCAGCGGAAGGAACACGACAACAAACAAATATATATTTTTTTACATATAAATGAAAATAACACTTATTTCTTTGTTTTTTACATTACAATACATTTATATTTTATTATACAAAGTAGTACGAAATCATTTTCCGCATTCTACATATTGGGAAAGAAGTTTGAAAAAAAGGTCATTTCTATTTTAGAAAGCTGTATTCATAAACAAATTAGATATTTTGGACTTCAAAATTCCAAAAATTAAAAAGTCTAAAAAGAAGAGGGATTTTAGTATAAATCCGCAATGTTTTTTTTATTATTTATCATTGGATCTTATGTTGTTTTCTTCAATCTTTCAATGTGTTTCATGTAAAGTCTAAGTTAAGGACAAGTTTGGATGCGCACCTGCCATGTGTCGGGGAGTATGCAGCAAGTGTCGGTGTTCTGTACGTGTCTGTAGCATAGCACCTTTTCAAAGTGTCCACAATTCTTAGCGTCTTATGCGAGGCAAAAGGCACACCTTTCTCTCTTGCCATCCAAAACTGGCTTGTACTGTTTAACCCGATGCATATGTAGTTTATAGTGCTTAGTTTACCTTTTTTTTTCTCATTATTTTGCATGGATAGTTTTGGATCACAAATTCAGATGGGTAGATTTTTGGTTTCCTTTATGATAGATCAACCAGTCATGTCCTGGTTTTTACTTCATTGTTATGCAGACTTTATGAAGTGTTTGAACATTGATTTTTTCCAATAATCATTCTAATGTTTGTTATCTGATCAGAGTTTAACTCATGAATCTTCTTTGTTGAAACAAAATTTGCAGATGCTGCAAGGTAATATCTGGATATCCTCGAATTCTCAAGATCGTGCACAAAGCATGAATTTTGCTCTCAAACTTCAAATACAACCTTTTAGAAGAGCTATGTTCGATCTTGGAAATTTGTCCGAGCAACCAAAAGTCAATACTATATTCAAAGGCCTTAAAGCTATTTTTGCTGATGATGATGACATAAACAGAACAGTGACCAAAAAGATGCTCGAGAAACTTGGTTTCCAAGTATCTGCTGTTTCATCTGGGTCTGAATGTTTGAGTGCCATTGGCCCTACTGGGAATTCATTCCAAGTCGTCATTTTGGATATTCATATGCCTGAAATGGATGGGTTTGAAGTGGCCATGAGAATCCGCAAGTTTCGCAGAAACAATCAGCCATTGATCGTAGCCCTCACTGCAAGTGCTGAAGAACATGTGTGGGAGAGATGCTTACAGATGGGAATGAATGGAGTCATTCGAAAACCTGTTCTCTTATCAGGAATGGCTGATGAGCTTCGAAGAGTCCTTCAACAGGCAAATGAAGAAGCGTGAAAGTAGAAAATTAAGAAGATTTCGAAGAAACTCTTCAAAGTATTTACTTGGGTATTGGATCAACTTGCCTGTGCAAGATACCAGCATTGAGGTGTAAGCATTATTTACGCTCGCCATTGAACATACTATCGGGGCTAGTTTTCTTTAACCGTGTTCATAATTGAGCTTCACCCGCTTTAACTTTATAGGATGAATAATAGTTGTGTACTTTTAAACCAAAAAACTGTTTGTGTCGCATCTATAAAATCACAAACTTCATCATGATTCACAAATTCACACTTTATAATCTAATTGTAAATTTGTGATCCTTCAAGTCGGATGCATTTTCAGAATGTTGTTGCTTGTGGACGAACAATTAGATGTTATTTTGTCATTGCTGATGTCTCATCAATTTGCAAGGCACAATACTTTTCACACCAACACATTTTACATATTTATTTACTATTGGTAACAAAAAATGACAAATGCCTTTTTTATTTTCTTCTTATTTTTTAACCTAATAAAATAATTTTTTTCTCTTTCATTTCATTTTCTTTTCCCATCATTGGTTTTTTGTTTTTGTTTTTTTTTTTTTTTCACTAATCCAACATTCAAACATAGTGCTAATGTTTTAGGTTTTGATGAGTATTAGAATCAGGTGGGATTTTCTTTATCTTTTTCCTTTAATGGAAAGCAAACTCAAAACACATTATTTTTGTGAACTTGTAAAATACAATGATCTGTTAAATTTCTTCTCTTTCTTTTGGTTTCATGGGTGAGTGTCTCAATCAACCCATATATTTTTATCGCTGACTATTAAATTCGTCCAAATGTCTCCTCATGTAAGGGGTGAAAGTACGAGTTCATAAATCAAAAAATAAATTGATATTTGTCAATAATTGCGAATGCGCTGATATAACTTGCGCTTAAATTAATTGTAGAAGTATATAGTAGTGGCAAGGTGAGGAAGGGGAAGCTCACATTCATCGTTGTTTGACTAAAGTATGTTAACTTCAACTTTCAGCTTTAAAAAATTGCACCAAACAAGCTCTGCTTACAGTAATTGGCATCTTAAATATGATGGATTGTGTTTAACCTTTGAAAGAACCAACAAATTGTGTGTGTGTGTGTGTGTGTGTGTGAGAGAGAGAGAGAGAGAGTGAGCGGCTTCAGTTAATAATGACCAAATACACATGGCAGAAAAGTTGGATCCGAAATATTACATAGGCGAAAAGTCCAGACAAATTTCACCGGTCACCTGAAGACAATGATAGCACAAAAGTTCCCAGAATAAAATCTCATTGTAGATGAATAATGATACAACACTGTACAAGCCTTTGCTCTCTCCAAATTTGAACAATGTTTGATGCAACCATAAATGAGATCTATTTAGTGTAAGATCATGTGAAGTTACCTTGTACACATGATGACACATCCTTTGGGGACTCATCAATGCTCTCTCTAGTAGATGCCATTGTATGTGATTTTTTCAACTCCTCAAACTGCAACACAATATGGAAAGCAAATAAGACATTTACACTCCTTTTGGTTCAATGTAAAATGTTTTACTCAAAATAAACATTTTTCTTGTAAAATATTTTACATAAAAAATTCAGTTTCTCATCTCATTTTCCAGCGACTGAAATGTTGAAAATTTTCAATTCATACCATTCTGATTTGAACATTGTGTAAATTTAAGGCATATCTGCCACTACTATTTCTACCATAAACCAATCAAGAAACTTGAAAGAAAACAAAGGGTGACTGTAACATTAAGCTTCATTTGAATCAATTTCATTCAGCACAACAAAATCACATACAACAAATTGAATCCAAGGAAACTCAGGACAACCACCAACCTAAACTCATCAAAACAAACAACACCAGGTAAAAATAATACCAATTACTCAAAAAATCCAAGATATCTACCAAAATCTGAACAACCAGTATTTGGTTTGGAAGTTGAAGGTCACGAGTCATAAAGTGGTCGTCAGCAATCATTATCGTTGAGAAACACTAACCAGTGACAAAAAACCGTCATCGAAAAAAGATAACTGCAGCCGAGAGCTTATTTACTGTCTCTCTCTCTCTCTCACATTTGTTTGGGGCCAGACAGTCAAGTGGACACTTCAGTGACATATGACTTATTTGGAAAATAACTTACCGAGGTTAGAATTCAAACTATTTGGAGTACAAGGTTATAGAGTAAAATAGTTTTTTCCTAACTTTGTGCTCATCCAAACAGAAAAAGTGACAAAAAAATTTAGATGGAATGAGCAGACTCTCAGGGTAAAGGGGTAATCAATTAGGAAAAGGACAAAGGCAATAATCAAGCAAGTTTGTATGCTTAAACAATTACTAGAAGATTGCATATGCAACAATGATCAGCCATGCTCCCAAAGCTTATATTTGTCATTTTACAATGATCAGCCTAGCTCCTAAACTCATTCAAAAGCTCAGGGAAAATCAGGGATTTCAAAGCTACAAGAACCTCACCCTCCAAAGACGGACAATCTATAAGAGAAAGTGTCAAAATTCCAATGATTACACAACCCACTTTGCTCTGCTTCTCTGATTGCTTCAACGATTCTATGGCCAGAAAGAGAGAGAACGGTGTGATTGGCTCTATAATGGAATATGTCAATTAAGTCTAGCCAACTTGTCCCATCCTTGTTCAAGAAATCCAATTGCTTGTACCCTAACTCAATCAGGAAGTATTGACCGATCATGGCAAACCACTACACAGAAGAGTGTCAAAGAGCTTTTGAGGACCCAATGCTCCTCAATTAAGATATGAAGGAACTCCATCCATCTAGCCTATGTCGTCATCCCCAACTCTAAGAACAGCTCACAAAAACCAGCTATCCTCATCATGATTTCCCATTTTTTTCAATCCCCAATACATATATAGAGGGTGAGAAGAGAATCCCAACCTCCAAATACTAAATGAAGACATGGGAGCTCTCTCTCTCTCTCTCTCTCCCCAATACACATTCATTTTGATGAGATTACAGGCTTGTTACATAGCCTGGCATTTTATAGGTAACACGTCATGCTCTCCAAATATAAGAATTTGTGAAAAATTAGGTCCTGCTGTTGCTAGCAAGGCATTCACAATAAATGAAGACTCATTCAGTCAATATGCTTTTGTGTTGCAAATAATGTGCTCCTAGGAGTATACTCACTTTTTCTTTTCCAAAATAACTAATATTCAACCAATAAATGAGTAAACACAAAAGGGGAAGAAGTGAATGTATTGATACCTCCTTGCACTTCTCTGTGTGTAAAGCCAAAAGCTCTTGATATTTTATTTGTAAATCTGACAGTTCAGCTTGTAGCTTTTCATACTCTGACACAGTTGGACCACCTATCTTTTGTTGGATGAACCTGTAGAAGAAAAATCACTAGTCTGTGAAATTACACACATGAATCATCTAATTAGTAAACTCAATTTGTAATCTATAATTGATGAAATTGAAAAAAAAAATTAAGAAATGTTGTGCAGATGGTTGTTTTACTTCTTTTCCTTTCACTTTTTCCTCTAGTTAGGGGTCTTCAAGTATCTTGTCTCAGCCTTCTGAAACTTAATTTAGCTTCTTGTCACATCCTTATGTCAAATGCATGCCATAAACTTTCGTAGGTACATGTGTCCATCTCCGTTCATGGCATCTCCACGTCATCTTCGTATGGGTGGGTGGCACCACATGACAGCCTTTGTGAGGTGATACATGGGCCAATGGTAAATCACCATGCACCCCTGTTGGGTCAGCTTCAAATAGACAAAGGCATAAGCGAATCTCCATCTAACCAATCTCCCATCATCAATCTCCTCCCCACTTGCCCATAGGTGATTCACCAAATGAACAACCAACCAAGCTGGGCACAGGGCCTGGACCATCGCATGGGACATTGGAGGAATGTATTTGGAGGCTAGAGATGAGGGATCATCGAAGTCACTTGGCTCATATAACCCAACCTTGACCAACCTTAGAGAGAGAGGGACAAACACAACCTTTGACATGTGATTCTCTAAAGAACATATCATACCTATCTATGTGGCTCTATAATACAATCCCCAATGGTTAAGCATACCTACCACTGCAGGCCTGCCATGAGACGGCACCCAAAGTTCGATTTCGGGGAGAAGTGAGTTGTCCATACATTCAGAGTATTGAACCAAGGGCATTACGCAGTTGTCCCTATTTGGTTGGTATCCCCTATAAAAGGGGATCTCTTCATGCATGAATGACACACCTTTTTTCAAGACTCCAACCCTCTTCAGCAAGGTCAGAAATCTCTCTCTCTCTCTCTCTACTAGGGCTGCCTTGGCTCTGTCGTCCTTTGCCTCCAGTGGTCTCTTGCCAACTGAGTGCCTACCATCTTCCCATATCGTCTAACCTTGGCCATGCTGACAACCACCTTTCCACTTCATTTACAACTTCAAAAGCCAATCTTTAAATAATGTTTGCTGTGCATTATTCCTTCTAGATGTTAATTTGTTTAATATGGATTATCTAGATTATTCTGCAATAGCGGGAGTCTCATGCACTAGGATTGCCCCTTTACATATGGTTTAGGCCATGCTTAATTTAAACAAAACTAATTGAAATATACTTCATTAAACATGTACATTTTATAAAATATAAAAAATGAACTTACTCAATAGCAGAAGAAGGTTTGTCATTCTGCTCATATAGTGCAACAAGACCTACATATAAAGAAAACGCTAAATAACATAAGAATGTGAATTCAGAAAAAGAAAAATACTAAACTAGGTAATACTAAGTTCGAGAATTGAGATTCAGAACAAATGAAGAGAGTTAAAGCAAAACCTTTTGTCAGAGCATCAAGAACTCCGCTAGATTCCAGGTACTTCCTAAATGCTTCCTTCTTTGCTTCCTTTTCCTACAAAGAGCATAGATAATGAAGATAAGGTGACAATATCCAGCAAAGAGAACAGAAAGATCCAGGACTAATATCCCAATTCTGAAACGACATGTTTAAATTTTCCTATCACGATGAGATGAAAATTGAGCAGATAGATGTACTAATATTTTTAGGGCGATATAGTCAGCAAGGATTAAAGGCCTAGGCTTTAACATTGTCAATTGTCAATCAACAAGCAAGAAGTCCATGGCATTACTTTAGTTCTTTGAGTCACAATTTGCTGTATTGTTGAGGCACACAATATTTAGTTTATCCTCGGATACTATGCCTCAAGTCAAGAACTACCATAGTCCACAGTCATGCCACTTCCTCGCAAACATACACATGGAGTCAACTACAGTTTGACGGAGTTTCTTCAACTCCATTCTTCATACTTATAAATAGGATCTAAGTTTTATGTTTGGTTCTAAGCTAGCAGACAACAACTCCTCAGATTCTATTAGGCTACTTAATTTAAATTAACTTAGGTTTTTAATGACGATATTTATTTCTAAAATAATAATCCTATGACAGATTCCATGCTTGACTGCTGTCACAAAACACTAGCCAATGCCGTGTAGGGGAATCCCAAATCCATGATACACGCCCACAGACATTCATACATTGTTATGAAAAACTAATTAAGTTATGGGACAATCCCTTCTTGAGGTTTCCCAACACCTAAATGGATTTTATGGAATGTAAGTTTGTCATATGGAAAGAAGGAAACAAAAGTAAATAGCTCCTGAAGAGTAGCTCATTTTCAAGAAAACTTCTTGCCAATGTAGGTTCTACAATACAAGAACATGGAGAGACTGGAGTTGACCTTTTTCCAAAAGATATATATCCTTAAGGTGAAAGTAAAGGCTTTTCATCTGTGCATCTTTGCCAAGTCAACCAGAAATTCATACATAGTTTCAATTTCTGTTAGGCTGTGATGCATTTGTTTAGACTAGAGACATCGTTTTGTTCCACAACTTTCGATAAGTATTGAAGCAGGCATGCTTTCCTAAGTCGTTCCGTGACACGGAAGCATTCTTCTTTTCAGTTCATCCCTATTTTTAGGAATCTTGGGAACAAGAACAACAACAACTAAGCATCAAGATCCTTCAAGAAGCTTCCAGATATAGCCATACTCTATATTGGCAAGCGATCTGACCCCTTATATTGTATTCCTAAGCTCTTGAATAGCACAAGGTTAATTGCCCTGGTTGTGATACCTCCACAGGTCTGAAAATCGACCACTCACTCTTATACCACTTGTTACAACCCCTGACTAAGATAAGAAAGAAGAAGCTCACATAGTTTCTCTCCTTTCAGTTTACAACAAACAGAGTCACAAACTGAATCAACAGTATAAGTGTGTAACTAATCTGAAATCGACCCATAACTACCTACTTCGACCACCTCATCATCTTGCTTTAACAATTTCTTCAATCAACCTCAGCAATTTTTCAACACTTCCCTTTGGTAAGTATTAGCATATCGTGCCATACACTCAATTCTCCTATATGGGTATCGATGATTCATCAATTCTTCAAGTCAATTCACCCTCTATATACGAATCAATTTGTTAGTGTTTCGAATCAAATATGTGACTATTATCGCCAACAATGTGATTATAATAACGGAGAGAACATGAATAACCATAGTAGTAATTGATAATGCTGAAAATTAGTGTATATATATATGTGTGTGTGTGTGTATAAAACCCAGTGATCCAAAGCAACATATGGGTGTGAATCTATGCTTGGCATTATCTATAAGACTGTAACATCTCTATATGGAGAGAGCTAGTTTAATCATACACACTGCAGCAACATTGAAAAATCTATAACGAAACGAACACTGAGAAATCATACAGATTATAAACTATATTTAGCAAAAAAATGGGTATGCAAAGCGAAAAACTTAGCTAGATCTGAGCTAATCAAGCAACGTAAGAAGGGGATCTGGGTGGAAACTCACCATTTTTTAACATCCAAATCGCATGTAATAAGAAGGAGAGTTATAATAGATCAACCCGGAAAAAGTTGGAGAAGAATGTCTGTCTAAACCCAGAAAATATAATTGGTTAAAAAAATTAAAATAATCACTTTATTTGAATTTTCTTTTTTTCTTTTTTGAGTTTTGTTGTTTTTAGTTAATTTTTTCGTATTTTAGTTAATTTTTTCCGTATTTTAGGGTTAGTTTGGGTGTCCTAAAAAACTGTATTTTTTATCTTTTTACGAAAAAATATACAGAAAAGTAAAGAGGTGATGCGATGAAAAAAAGATAAAAAGATGAATTATATAGGTTATGTCAAACCAAGCCTTAATATATTTTTATCTAAAGTAGCAGTTGGCATACAAAATACTTATATAATTTAAATAAATAAAAATAAAATAAAATATTTGTCTTATTTTATGTGTCACTCATAGGAAATTTAAAAGAAATGGGAAAACTTAATAAATGCCCACCAAATCACTAGCTTAGAAAAAACAAGCGAGTGCCACTAGGCTTTAGTGCTTGATTTGGTGCACAAACCTTCCACGCGTGCGTGGCATTTAAAAAATCAATAAATATATAAAATATATAAAAATTTGCATTTTTTGTATTTTTTATATTTAGTAAAAAAAATTATTTTTCATAAATTTTATACTTTTTAAGTATATTTAAATTAAATAAATCTAAAATTAATAATTAAAATATTTTTAAAAATCACTAAAAATTAAAAAATACAAATTAAAAACGTGAAAATTATTTTTAAAAACTCCAAAATTAAACAGAGTATACTTATAAATGGTTATTGTACGTGACAACGGGCAACTCCTTTAACCATCTCGTTATCTTAGCACGACACTCTTGGCAACTTCTGATTATCCCTCGCCAACCACTCTACATTGCAGGCTACATCTCTACATTATTATACAATTCATAAAATTTACCAAATAATAGATATGATGAATATGAATATGAATATGAATATGAATATATATATATATATATATGTGGGGATATATTTTCTGAGTACCAATACGTGGCCAAGGTGACGCCGACGTGTCAGCCGAGGTGCCACGTGTCCTGGTTGTTATGCCAAGGTCATCTCGGATAGGCCGAGGTTGCTTCCGAAGATATCGAAATCCGAGATAAACGGATGAGAAGCAAGAGTCCTAGAATGAGAGAAGATTTCAGTTTGTATTAAAATAAGACTGAGTTTATTCTAATCTTACTAGGAGTCCAAGATTAGCAGTAATCCTGAGTCCATAAAAGTTAGGCTTCTATTGGGACTAGGTTTATGTTGGCTATAAAAGAAAGACACCCCCATGGGTCTAAGGTATGCTTTTAATACTCAAGCTTATGAGTTTAGCACTTGATTATCTTTGAGAGATATACTGACTTGATCGTCGGAGTGCTCCCGGGTGACCGAATCACCGCCGCAATCTTCTCTTTCTGTTGCAGGTCAGCCAGGTGCCATTTATTCTGCCGGTGCTTTCCAGCTGGTTACTAAGCGGGCAGTGTGGTCAAAAAATCACCCACATAATTTGGTGCCGTCTGTGGAAAAGAAAGAAGAATAGATGGCCAATGAAAGAAAAAAGAATAGATGGCCAATGACGGACAGAATAATCAGATTGAAGACAACGCTCCTGCTGGGAGTGGGAGACCTATCAACCTCGACGTTGAAGGAGACGACCGCAACACAGAAACTCGTGACCAGAGTCACGGAGTGAAAGACGCCAGCCAGAAAGGTGACGCACCAAAGACAACAGATCGAAGCGGATACTACAATGAAGATGACCTACAGATATGGAAGGATAAATACCTGCGGAGGAACGAAGACCCTTCCAGAAAGGATGCAATAACAGGGGGCTTGAGCGCTTCCAAGGAGATAACATTCAAGTATAGAAGAACTCAGCCTAAAGTGAGCAAATCCCAGATTCCAGAAGACACAATCTCGACCTAGATGATTAGGTTCGAGAAGAGAAGAGCTCAGCCTAAAGTGAGCAAATCCCAGATTCCAAAAGACACAATCTCGGCCTAGATGATTAGGTCCGAGAAAAGAAGAGCTCAACCTAAAGTGAGCAAATCCCAGATTCCAGAAGACAAGATCTCAACCTAGATGATTAGGTCCGAGAAGAGAAGAGCTCAGCCTAAAGTGAGCAGATCCTAGATTCCAACAAACAAGAGATCGAAATCATTGTTTAACACTTGTTGAAATTTGTGGACAATTTACAAGTTGAAGTTAAACCGAAATCATTGTTTAACACTTGTTAAAATTTGTAAATAATTTACAAGTTGGTTAAACCGAAATCATTGTTTAACACTTGTTGAAATTTGTGGATAATTTACAAGTTGGTTAAACCGATATGATGTTTACCACTTGTTGAAATTTGTAACAATTTACAAGTTGGTTAAACCTATATGATGTTTACCATTTGTTGAAATTTGTAGCAATTTACAAGTTGGTTAAACCGATATGATGTTTAACACTTGTTGAAATTCTGTGTGAATTTACAAGTTGAAGTTAAACCGAGATGATGTTTAACACTTGTTGAAATTCTATGTGAATTTACAAGTTAAAGTTAAATCGAGATCATATTTAACACTTGTTGAAATTTTGTGTGAATTTACAACTTGAAGTTAAACCGATATGATATTTAAACACTTGTTGAAAATTCTGTGTGAATTTACAAGTTATAGTTAAATCGAGGTCGTATCGAAAGGAAAATGGTTTAACACTTGTTGAAATTTTGAGAAAAATTTACAAACTGAAGTTAAGCCGAGACTATGATAAAGGATGATGGTTAAAACACTTGTTGAAATTTTTTAGAAAAATTTACAAGTTAAAGTCAAGCTCAAACAATAACTGCGTACTTGCCGAGACTACCAGATTGTCAAAACTTGAAATATGAAAAACTGAAGTCTTGATAGAAGACATTGAGAAAGTGACAAGTCCTAAGCAACACTAGTAAAAATATTTGTTACAATATTTTCAAGTGTTAAGACAAGGCCGAGATGAGCAAGATTGGAAGTTGTGATAGAGGTATTTTACCCGAAGAGATTGCACAGTTAAGGTGTACTTTGAAGACATGTAAATTATTCTAAGTGTAGAATTATATAAGAGCAGAAAAAAGAAGACATTCATTCAAAGAAGAAATTAGAGAAATGCATTTGAAGAAGAAATAAGGCACTTCGGCCTGAATATTGAAAAATAAATTATTCAGACTACAAAAACGGCACGTCAGCCGGATTAAAAGCATACAAAGAAAGACAAAGTACAAAGTACAAGGTACAAGGTACAAGGAGTAAAAGAAGGAAACAAAACTACTCGGCATCAATGGCAGGATATAGAAGACAGTTGGGAAGACTTCTCAACAGCCTTCTCGGCCTCGAGCTCAGCATCGATCTCCCGAAGAGTTTGATCAAAGCTCTTCTCGGCGATTGGCACCTCGGAGTTTGAAGGCAAGGATTGAAAGCAAGAATCTGGAAAAAGACACAGAAAACAGAAACAATTCGTAATCAAGAATGGTGATGAAGCCATCAGGAAATCAAGACAAAAAGATTGCACAGGTGTGTCAAGCCAAGAACAGTGGTAGACATCAAACAGATGTGTGAACAGTGTATATTCAATAAGATTTGGAAACAACGAGTAAAACAACAATGGTGATTAAACAATGAAGCAGAGCTTCTTGGAAAGTAACAAGAAATAAAACCAGGATGAACATTGGCTTACTAGAAAGAGAGAAGCCGGAATGAGAATTGCCGAAGTCTGACGAGGGATGCGAAAATGACAGAATGACGTAAGCTTCACCGGAGGAGAGGAACGAAAACAGTTGCAGAGCTTGAAAGTTTGGAACAATGACGGATTTAAGCAAAAGAGTTAGAAAGAGAAAAATCCAGAGGATTGAATGAAAAAAGAGAAAAATCAAAGTCAAGAAGACGACAAAGTTCGAGAATAAAGCCAAGTACACAGGCACTAAGTAAATATGTGAAGAACAAAAAAGTAATGACCCAGACACGATGCTAGCAACAGAAAATAGATATGGCAAGAACAGTGCCAGGCGTTCAAGCAATTCAAAACTTGAAAATAGACGAAAATAGAAGACAACAGAGGGCAAGTAAACGGATTCAGAAGAGTTATGAAAGATTGAGCTTAATAAAAGAGTTTATGAACCTACCAAGAGAAATGAACGCCGATATGAAGATCGCTGGAGTCAAATAGATGACTGAAAATCGGGAACTCACCGAAGAATGTGAGTGGAACAGTTGCAAAGCTCTTGGAGTTTACGAATTAATGGAACAAGAACCTCGGCTAGGAGGTGTGATCTCGAGCAGCTTGGAAAGCATGAAGCTTGATACTTGACAGAAGTGGACAGTAAAGTCCAGGGAACTTTGAGGGCGGCGAGTTTGATCTCGGACAGAGGCGCACAGATGAACGAACAGTGTAGGTTTTATCACCTCAGAATGCTGAGGTAATAGAACCTAGGGGCAGTTGTGGGGATATATTTTCTGAGTATCAACACGTGGCCAAGGTGACGCCGACATGTCAGCCGAGGTGCCACGTGTCCTGGTTGTTATGCCGAGGTCATCTCGGATAGGCCGAGGTTGCCTCCGAAGATATCGGAATCCGAGATAAGCGGATGAGGAGCAAGAGTCCTAGAATGAGAGAAGACTTCAGTTTGTATTAAGATAAGACTCTTAGAGAGTTTATCCTAATCTTACTGGGAGTTCAAGATTAGCAGTAATCCTGAGTTCATAGAAGTTAGGCTTCTATTAGGACTAGATTTATGTTGGCTATAAAAGAGAGGCACCCCCATGGGTCTAAGGTATGCTTTTGATACTCAAGCTTGTGAGTTTAGCACTTGATTTATCTTTGAGAGATATACTGACTTGATCATCGGAGTGCCCCCGGATGGACGAACCACTGCCAGAATCTTCTCTTTCTGTTGTAGGTCAGCCAGGTGCCATCTATTCTGCCGGTGCTCTCCAGTTAGTTACTAAACGAATAGTGTGGTCAGAAAATCACCCACACAATATATATATATATATATATATAAAAAGAGACATTTTTCTACTATGTTTACTGGTATGAAAACAATGAA